GTGAAAAAATATAGCAAGGATGGTCTGTATGGTGGCATAGCACCGCATTGACATTGTGGCCAGTGACGGTGTATGGAGATGCTGGCTAATGGAAGGTGAATGTATGTGCTCTGCTGGGCTACTCTTGCTTGCACCTTTATGGCTATAAGGAAAAAAACAATAGCATTAGTGGGAGGTTGAGGAGCTACCTTTTCAGATGCTGGTGCATGTGGGTTAAGATGAGGGTGGGGTGGGTTAGTGAGGGGGTGCAAGGACTCATGGAAAGTCGATAGAAAAGTGTAAAGTAATAAATGTCGCAGTAAACCTGTCAAAAACCAGCTGTGAAAAGCAATAGTGTTTAGAAACCCTTGTGGCCAACACAATACTATAAACCTGATTTAACATGAGTTTTTTCAGAAAACTCATGGCTGCAAAATCCCTGAATCTAGAGGCCTATGAAAAAAATGACAGGTGACTTGCTTTAAACTGCACATTACAAGTGTAGTTTAAAATAATGTGTGGGAGATTAGAAATTCCTGCTGTGTCAATATTATATTTTCAACAAGATGTTTATGTTTTTAATATATCCCACAGTATGGACTTTAAGAAAAGGGTAAATAAAAATGAAGCTTAAGGCTACAAGATTTGCTTCAATACACTAAAAAGAATAGTGAAGGATTCAAACGGTGCCTATTCTTTCATAGGTCTTGCTTTCTCCTTTATGCTCATTGTACATAGGTTGGTTAGCTCAGTTGGCTGGACGGCTGGTTTGTAATGCAGGATGGCGAACAGTGTGGATTCGGGTCCGGCAGTGGCTGAGGTTACATGAAGGTCTTGCCTGCTCAACGTTACCCCTTACCTGAGGTGTGGTGACCCTCAGGTTAAACTCGCCACCAATTGTCTCTCTCTAATGTCGCTCTCCTAGCAGCCCTGTAGACGTCTTGGACTATGGTGACTTTACATGCAAGAATGTGGGAACAGGAGGAGGCTGCACAGCTGCTTAGAGCTCTTCTCTGAAATCTCTTGAAATTTCAATTTTGAAATTTTCACTTCAGCTTCAGCCTCAGCAATCTTTTGGGAGAGGGAGTTCCCAATCTCCATTATCCTTTCTGTGAAGCTGTGCTTCCTAACCTTCCTCCTGATTGGCCTTGCTTTAATTTTAAGGTTATGCCTCCTTTCTTTGGATCCCCCACATCAGAAGAAATAACTTTGCTTTCTGCCCTATTAATTCTTCAATCATTTTAAAACACCTACATTAGAGAACCTGTTAACTTTATATACTCAATACAGAATAATCAATATGGCAAACCAGAATTTCTACATTTTATAATCTAAGTACCTTCCTTATGTGATTTGCCATCTTGTTTTGTAAGTGTAATTGAGTTAGTTTTTTCTTCCAAGGTACAAGTTACAATGTAAAATTCTTAGTCTAACTGTATATGCTAATTCACATCTTGAAGATGTTCACTGGTTTGTTCTGTTGGTTTGTGTGAAGAGTGAAACTGTGCTGCTTTGCTTTCTTTTGAATAGATGCCTTAGCTGCCTGCAATTACTTACCTCAGTCACGAGAAAAAATCATTGCTGCACTGTTCAAGGCGCTGAACTCGACAAATAATGAACTGCAAGAGGCAGGAGAGGCCTGCATGAGGAAGGTCAGTTTTATTGAAGTGCAATTTTGGAATTGCTATTCAGACGTTTGTTGAAAGGAATTCAAACAAAATTATCATGAATTAATGAGATAACAAAGTGTAGAGCTGGATGAACACAGCAGGCCAAGCAGCATCAGACGAGCAGGAAGGCTGACGTTTCGGGCCTAGACCCTTCTTCAGAAGAGTC